AGGAAACTGAGGTCAGAGAGGAAACGTGGCTTTTCCAAGGTCCAAACACAAGGACTAAACACCCAGGGCCAGACTCAACCTTGGGTCCGAAACCAGCCCACAAACACGTGTTTTGTTTGGACTGTAGGCGGATTAAAATAAAAATATATTTTTTTGGCAACAATGGAACTCAGGAGGAAGGGTGGATTTCAACTTCTCCTGGAGACCCGGCCCACGCGGCCGCAATCACTAGAGCTGGGAAGCAGGGTGGTGACTTTAGCGCCCACCCCTACCCAGTCCCCCAGGGTGGCTCACCAATCCTTCACCACGATGGCCGGCTGAGTGGTGTCCAGCAGCTCCTCCCAGTAGCCCTCGGCCTGCAGGTCAATGACCTGTGCTTTGCGACACCACCTGGGGAAAGTGAGTTCGGAGTGAATGGAGGCCCCCTCTCCCCTTTCCCACCCATCCCCCTTCTCCTTACTCAAAGGAGGAGGCGAAGAACTTCTTGACGTTCTCATCGTGGGTGAATTCCATCCCACAGTCTCCGGGCAGCTCCTCCACCCTCCAGCCGTCCCCGCCGTGCTCCACGTCGCACCAGCCCTCCAAGTCCTCTGCGGGAACACGACAGCCCAGCCTAGTCACCCAGCCCCTGCTGAGGGCGTGGCAGTGCTGACTCTTGCCCCTGCAGTGGGGTGCTGGGCCAGCTGGTACGGTGGGGTTGAATGGCAGGCACTTCCTGTTTGTCCCAGATTCTCTCTCCCTCCTGGGAGGGTCGTGGAAGGACCTGGGAAAGAGACCCCCAGGGAGCAGGCGGAAGGGGAGATAATAATACAGAGTTTATTGGGGCTATTCTGTGCTGGGCATTGTGCCGAGCGCTTTATCTCATGTAACCCTCAAAGCAGGTTGGCATTGTCTGTGGCCCATTTTCCAGAGGGGAAAGCTGAACCCCCCACACACGCAGGCCTGGGGTGATAGGGCCTGACCCTCACCTTCCCCGCACGGGTTGCGCAGCAAGTTGCGCCGCCTCTTGCTCAAGAAGTAGAACTGCTGCCAGTGGTCGCGCTCGTCTTCCGAGCCGCCCTCGGGCACCAGTCCCTCCTGCTGGCACTTGAGCAGCCACAGGGGGGCGCCGTCCACCAGCTCCTTCCAGCGCAGACACACCAGGCGGCAGGCCTGCACGAGCTCGGAGGCCGGCAGCTCCGCCAGCACGCGCAGCAGCAGCGGCTCGGGCAGCTCGTCCAGGTAGGCGGTCTCCTCCTCCTCCCCGGCGCTCGCCTCCGCCGCGCTCGCGCACCCTTCCTCCTGCTGCTCATCCGAGCTCCCCTCCTCAGGCTGGCCCATGCTCTCTGCGGGGGTGAAGGGGGTGAGGGAGCCTTGACTCCCCGCAGACTGTCTCCCTGCACGCCCCAGAACCGCCATGTGTCGGGTATCCGCCCCCCACCCACCCTCGGACAATCAGCAGCTGGGGCCAGAGATTCTGTGACCAGAAACTGGTGCCCAGTGGAGGAGGCCCAAGGAGACCATGGCCACAGACCAGCCGCAAGTCCGAAGGGCGGCCTCGGAGGTCTGTTCCCCTGAAAAGCCAGTACACCCCATACCTGAGCGGATAACAGCAACTGATATCATTAACAGGACTGCCTCGCATTTCACATATGAACTTCACTGATCCTTCAAACCACCGAGATCCCTGCTCCTGTCACCTCCTTATGGAAGCCTTCCTGGATTTCCCCATTGCATCCTCTCACCCCGGAGTTCCAGTCCTTCCCAGATTTCATCCTAGTGTGTGAAGCTTTATGACACACCCATCTTGGGACTAGACTGAGGACCTAAGGGCAGGAACAAGGTTTGGGAAACACTGCTTCACCCCCAGAGCTTGGCATTTGGCACCCTGTCAGCAACTAAAGTTTACTGGACACTTGGCAAGTGTAGGCCTGTTCTGAGCATTTTAAGTTCATTCACTCTTTAAAGCCTCAAAGAATCTCTGAGGTTTTCCCTATTGCTGTCCCTATTTCACTGATGAGGAGGCTGAGGCGCAGAGAGGTGAAATGGCTGAGGATCACATGCGAACGAGCGGTTGGAGCCTGGATTTGAACCCCGGCAGCCTGGCCCCAGAGCCTCCTTTAAATAATGCATTGAGTTAGGAGTCACTGTTACGATTTTGATTCTTCAGATGAAAATGCTCAGGCTCAGAGATGTGAAGTGACTTGGCAAAGGTCATGCTGCTAGTATTAGGGAAGAGGACATAGGGATCTGATGCCTGAGGGGAAGGGAACAGGAGCCTTTGACTTGGGGACGGGGGTGGGGGGCTCATTAAAAGAGACCCTGTGAGTGTGTGCGTGTTTGTGTGTTTCAAACAGAGAGATATAACAAGTGCTTGGGAAAGGAAGGTTTTTTCACTTCTGGCCATGCCTCATCTATAAAATGGGAGTAATCCTGGTAGCTAGGCCTTTCAGACAGTGCTGATGCTCCAATCCCCTGAGGAAGGCCAAGGGCATTCTAAATTCTAAGGAGGTGGACATATATCAGGAGCCGCAGGCTGGACTATCTTCTGGATCCCAGCTGGACTCAGCTAGGCCATTGAAGCCTTGAGTAAGCAGATATCAAGTGCCCAGTGTCTCTGAAGGAAGGAGAGACAGTGGGGAGGAAACAGGGCCACTCTGGGTCATGGGGGAGGCCACAGCTCTCGAATTTAGGATGGGAGATTCCTAAGGGCTGAACCTTGCAAAACCAAGGTGGTGGTGGAACTAGGCTGGGCACTGGGGGAGGGAACAGACAAGGGCCCAGCAGCCAGCTCTTTACCTCCTCACATGCAGCATTTTCTCCCCCTCCCCACACAGTCAGACCCTTGATGACTGAATCAGGGTTTACCTCTTCAGAGCCCAGAGCACACAGTGAGTCCTCAGCAGATCTTATTTAGTGAATCTTATTCAGCACAGCACGTTCCCATCATTATTAGTTTTGTTGTTTTGTGGGTTTTGTTTTGTTTTTTGGTTTTTTTGCCTCATCTTTATGATGTGGGGCTTTGCCTCCTGCTTTTTGGCAAAAAAGAAACTAAGGCCCAGAGATGCTTCCTGGGTTCTCCTATGTCACACTGCAGAAGAGTGGTAAGTCAGAGAGGAAAATGCCAGGCCCCTAAGCCATATCAGCTGCCCATCCTGCTGCCCACAGCTCTCTGGGGAGCAGGGCCCAGTGTCCTCACCTCTCCACCACCACCCCCCTTGCCCTGCCCTGCCCTGGCCCTGGTGGACACCTGATGCTCCCCGAAAGGTGCACCTTGCCCAGTCCCCTCTCCTGGCCCCAGGCCTGGCACTTGAGGCCCCAGATCTAATTACAGGCCCCCCATCCCCCGCTCAAGCACACACAACTCCCCACATTGTTGCTGTCGGAAAGTTATCTGGCCCCTGGAAGCTGCCTCCAAGGCTGATTCACTCACCTGGACTGGGCCCTGGAGTCCAGGGAATAGCTGGGCCCTGAGAAAATGCAGGGGCCCATTCTGGTCCTATAAAAGGTGCGGCAAGGGGGCCACACTGGATTGGGAGTGGGAGCTGAAGAACTGGGATTTGGGGGGCTGGGAGAAGGGGGTTCGGCTACCTGAGCATGCATCGATCTGTTTCCCAAGCAGTGCCCATTCTCAGAGGGGCCTGCTGAGAAAGGGATGGAAGAGTCCACAGGCAGGACTTGTTCCCACCCTGACTCAGCTGGCAACCCCTACAGGCCCAGCCAGCTCAAAGGATAAGGAGGGGGGGGTCTCTGGTGCCAGACAAGATGACTGGGCAGTCTCAGAGGGCCCTGGGCATTGGCAAGAGCTGGTGCCCCAACCCTCCCTCAGTGCTGGCCTGGTCCCCACTGGGCATCTGGCCACCCAGATGAAGGATGGCCCCTGCAGACAAGAGAACCCAGGAGGAAGGCTGGGATGGGGTGGGGAGAGGCTGGTAAACCCAAGAAATCCATGAGGATTCAGGCAGCTCACTGGCCAGAGCTGGCAAATGGAAGAAGCTGATGGAAGAAAAGGGGGTGCAGCCTCCTCCATCCCCAATGCGTTCTGGGAGCCGCCCCACAGACCCTCAGAGAGCTGGGAGGTGGGAAGGTGGGATTACTCCTATGCTGTTTCCTGGGTCCTGGGTAAATGAGACCCAGGAGTCCTCCCTCCCTGCCTGTCACCTCTTGAGGCCTCCCGCCAGACCAAGACACCAGCAGGACCACCTTGCTCTTTTGAGACTGTCTCAAGGACTTTGCGTAGGTGAAAGTTTGTGGTGCTGGGATCTCTCTCACACACACACGCACACACGCACGCACACACACACGCACACACACGCACACATCTCCAGCACTCGCCCGCCTGTCCCGGTCTCCCCTCCGAGACTGAACGAGTGGGTCTGGGCTGTGGCGGCTACCTGGGTCACCGTCTCCGTCCATTGCTGCGGAGGCGATCGCAAGAGGAGAAGCCGGGGCGCTGCGGGGCTGCCGGAGTCCCGCGCGGCTGGCGTGTCTAGGTGCTGTCCACGTCTGGGTCGGGTCCCCGCCTGCCGCGCCTCTTAAAGGCCCCCGCCTCCGCCCCCGCCCGCCCTTGGCCCCGCGCCCGGCTGCCCCGCAGACTGGAGCGGTCGGCCCGAGGCCTGAGGCTGCAGGTTCCTCGGCGGACCCAGGAGGCCGGGAAAGGTCAGGAGTCGTTTTGTTTTTTGTATTTTTTTTAATGCGGCGGGGGGGGAGGTTTCTATCTGAGCCTTCTCCCAGTTTCCTCGTGGGGTGGCTGCTGGAAGGAGGAGGCCAGAGGGCAGGGAAGAGTCTGGGTCATGCGGAGGGTGCGGGGCGAGCAGCCCAGGCAAAGGGGAGGGGCAGAGGCTCCTCCTGGCACCCCCCACCCGGGGTAATTTTCCTACTTCGCGATGGGGACGCGTCCCAGGTCCCGCGCACCCCGGCGCGGCTCCGCGCGGGGAGGGGCGGGGAGGGGCGCGGACGGTGGAGGCGGGGCCGGGGCGGGGCCAGGAGGGCCGGGGCGGGGCCGCCTCCTCCGCCGAGCGCCAGCGGAGGCCGGCTCAGCACCGCGGCGGAGCGGGACATCGCAGCGGCGGCCGAGCGAGCGCAGGTGACCGGCGGGAGTGGGCGCAGGGAGTGCCGCGGCGGGGGCGCCGGCGGGCAGGGGCCCGGCGGGGGCGCCGGCGGTTTCCGGCCCCCCGCTGTGAGCCACGGGAGGCCCGGCGTGGACAAATCCCAGGCCGCGGGGGCTGCGCTGCGCGGCCTCCAGCGGCTGTGCGAGCGGAAACCGGGGCTGGGGTCCTCCTCGATACGCAGGGGTCCAACCCTGACTTGGGGGGATATTTTAAAGTCACAGCGCGGAATGGCAGCCCGAAGACGCGCTAGGGTACCTGGAGCTAGAGCCCAGGAACGGGAATGGGGGTGGGGTATAGGAAAGGCCTTCCATCGCCCACCCCTTATCCAGCCAGAGCTGGGCAGACCATTTCCTCTGCGGCCTTAAGAAAGAGTCTTGAGCCCTTTGGACCTCCGTCTGAGACGATACTTATCCCTCCCCCCCATCCCCCTTCTCTCCGAGGACGGGAAAGAAAATAGAAGGCCCCGGACTGGCTGGAGTGCTCTGCGGAGCTGCGAATTGTGATTTCCACTCCAAAACGGTCCGGCCTACTGAGAAAGGCTGGCTCTAGAATCAGAGAAGACTCGGGCCCCTTCCCTCTGCTCCTGTCTTTGTGACTTTGGGCAGGTCCAGCCACCTCTCCGCAGGCCTCCTTAGCGTCCTTTAGAGGCTGGCCACTTTAAATAAAAAAAAACAGACCTCAGACCTCACCCTTTACTGAGCTTCTGCTATGGCCCAGGCCCCTTGGACCCTCCCCAGGAGGTGGTACGTGCTTTTCCTGGCCCCATATGGGAGGACACAGAGGTTCAGAGAGGCACAGTGACTTCCCGAGATAATAAAGGGCGGACCTGGGAAGGGAACCTCCACCACCATGGGTTGCTGCAAATAGCAGGTCCAGTGAGAGGGCTTGGTCTGTAGCCTGGTTTTTCAATAACCACAGGAGAGGGCCCAGAAGTCAGGAGCCATGGCCGTGGAGAACATCAACGAGCTGCCTGAGAACATCCTGCTGGAGCTGTTCACACACGTGCCTGCCCGCCAGCTGCTGCTGCGCTGCCGCTTGGTCTGCAGCCTCTGGCGTGACCTCATAGACCTGGTGACCCTTTGGAAGCGCAAATGCCTGCGTGAGGGCTTCATCACCGAGGACTGGGACCAGCCTGTGGCTGACTGGAAGATCTTCTACTTCCTGCGAAGCCTCCACAGGAACCTCCTGCACAACCCCTGTGCTGAAGGTGGGGTGCAGAGTGGGTCTGGTGTGCCCTCGACACACACACTATCAGGATCTAAGCTACCGTTTATTAAGTACTTACTACGAGCTAGGTACTTTGAATGGCTTAATAATTTTAATCCTTTCACAATAATCCTAAAAGGTAGGTACTGGGAGTGTGCACATTTATCAGATGAGCAAACTGAGGCCAAGAGTGCATTTCTTTTACCAGCCTTAAGATGATTTTCCTGCCCTGGCCGGTTTGGCTCAGTGGTTAGAGCGTCGGCCTGCGGTACAGAGAGACCCGGGTTCGGTTCCCGCTAAGGGCGCGTACCTTGGTTGCAGTTTGTCCCCGGCCCTGGCTGGTCATGCTGGTGGCAACCACTCGATGTGTCCCTTCACGTTGATGTTTCTCTCTCTCTCTTCCTCTCTCTCCCTCCCACTCTGTCTGAACAAAAAATGCAAAAATGTCCTCGGGTGAAGATAAAAAAAATAAAATTAAAAAAAAAGATGATTTTCCTGCCCTGGCCAGTTTGGCTCAGTGGTTAGAGTGTTGGCCTGCGGTCCGGAGAGACCTGGGTTCGGTTCCCACTAAGGGCACGTACCTTGGTTGCAGTTTGTCCCCGGCCCTAGTTGGGTCGTGCAGGTGACAACCACTGTGTCCCTTTCACGTAGATGTTTCTCTCTCTCCCTCCTTCTCCCCCCCCCCCCACTCTATCTGAACAACAACAAAAAAAAGGTAAAAATGTCCTCGGGTGAGAATTAAAAAAAAAAAAATTAAGATGATTTTCCCAGTGATCTTTCTTAGGAGAGGAAATGTTGGCCAATTAGGCCTAATTATGCTCCAGGCACAAGACCAGGAAGTCAGCCATATATTGTTGGCCTAGTCTGCAGACTCCAGGGTTAGGCCTACTAGGACTGTCCCAGAGGTCGAAGGGGGCTTTGCTTATGGAAGAATGAGAGATCCAGTTTCCTTTCCAGCACATTTCAACAAGCCTACAGTCATCCAGAGCTCCCTTGTTCCCTTGCTATGTTGTGACTCGTCAGTTAGACACTGGGATGGGTGGGATGAGTGGGATGGGAAACTAATTCTCCGTTATGTGGGCACATTCTGGAGCAAACTGATGATAAGACAACTCCAGGCTCTCTAGAGCTTTCAGTCGGCTGCCTCACTTGATTCTCTAACAGCCACGTTCTATACCAGCAGTTACGCTATGGTTCATGAACCAAGTCTGGCCCGGGAGCTAAGAATAGTTTTTACTGTTTTCAAGGGTTCTTTATCCCTGGCCAGTTTGGCTCAGCGGTTGAGCATCTGCCTGCGGACCAGAGAGTCCCAGGTTCGGTTCCCGCTAGGGGCACGTACCACAAAAGTAAATAAATAAATAAAATAAAGGGTTATTTAAAAACAAAAAAGCAATGCAATAAAGACAAGTATATAGCCCATAAAACCTAAAATATTTTGAACCTTTATGGAAAGTTTGCCAGTTCCTATTCTTGACCCCAGTTTCTAGAGGACAAAACCAAGGCTCAGAGAGGGAAAGCAACTTGCCTGATGTCACACAGTCCTGGCCAGCAGCAGATGGTTCTTCATCACAGAAGGGGTCTAGTCACTCGTATCATCACGTGTCGAGCCTCAGAATTCCCAGTGGAAATCCCTTACCATGGTGCCTGACATACAGGAAGCACCTAATTCCAGGCAGCGTTCCACAGCACAGGGCTAGGGGGCAGCTGCTGAGATCCGGGGAGAAGGACCGGGAGGAAGGGGCGCTTGGGAAAGGGTGACCACTGAGGGGCTTCCTTTTGATGTGAACTGTGCTTTCCTGCCAGAGGGATTTGAGTTCTGGAGCCTGGACGTGAATGGAGGCGATGAGTGGAAGGTGGAAGATCTCTCTGGAGACCAGAGGAAGGAATTCCCCAATGACCAGGTCAAGAAATACTTCGTGACTTCTTATTAGTAAGATCCAAAGTCAGGGGGTCTCGGGGTGATGGGTAAGCCCAAGTCACTGCGCTCTGGGGTCTCTCCTGCTCTGGTAGGGCAGTCCTAGCCTCCCAGGGCCCTAGTGGTGAGCCCCAGCCCCTCCCACCCTCCGCCTACCCCCAGCACCTGCCTCAAGTCCCAGGTGGTGGACCTCAAGGCCGAAGGGTATTGGGAGGAGCTGATGGACACTACACGGCCGGACATCAAGGTCAAGGACTGGTGAGTGTCTGGGGCGAGGGTCTGGGGGGGGGGCCTGCCACTCAGGCGCCCCACCCCCACCCTGCCCCCCATCTCCAAGGCCCTAATGGGCCTTTCCTCTGCCTGCAGGTTCGCAGCAAGGCCAGACTGCGGGTCCAAGTACCAGCTGTGCGTTCAGCTCCTGTCCTCAGCACATGCGCCTCTGGGTACCTTCCAGCCAGACCCAGCAATGATCCAGCAGAAGAGCGATGCCAAGTGGAGGGAGGTGTGTGTGACAGGAAGGGGGCGGTAGACTCATTGCCCTAGGTTCAAATCCCCGCTCTGCTGCTTCTCACCTGGGCTTCGGCTGCTCTGAGCTCTGAAAGATGTCAGTGAAGTGATGCTAGTAAAAGCATGTTCAAAAAGGTTGACTATTATTAATTACTAATATTGGTGGTTCCTATTATTTAGACCAGTGGTCAGCAAATGTTTTCTTAAAAGGCTAGATAGAAACATTTTAGGCGTTGCAAGCCGTGCTCTCTCTATCACAGCTCAATTCCTCAGCTCTGCCGTTGTGTTGTGAAAGCAGCTTTAGCAAGTGAACATGGCTGTGTTCCAATAAAACTTTATTTGCAGAAATAGGCAGGCGACCCCTAGGCCATAGTTTGGCAAAATCCTGATCTAGACCTGCGCTCTCCAATAGAACTTTCTGCAATGATAGAAATGGTCTGTCTGCACTGTCCAGCATGTACCCAATAGCCACGTGTGACCATGGAACACTTAATAAGATCTAGTTCCTAGTGTGACTGAGGAACTAATTTTTATCTAATTTTAATTCATTTTAACTTGAATAGCTACATGTGCCCAGTGATGACTGTACTGGACATCCTTTGGCCGCTTGTGAAATTTCCTTCAGTTGCTCTGCCCCACACTTAGATAATCCTGTGGAGTGGACCCTCTGGGATTTTATTCCATTTTACAGATGAGGAAACTAAGGCATAGAGAGGGGAGGTGGTCTGCCCAACATCACGGAGTTAGAACTAGAACTCAGTTAGGTGACTCCTGGCCCAGCACTAAGATAGCAGCCTCTTCCTTGCTCCCCTGCCCCTCGGGCACCACCACCCTCAGGGTCAGCTTCCCTGACCCCTCTCCCTCTCTCTACCTGCCCCCTTCCCAGGTCTCCCACACGTTCTCCAACTACCCACCCGGCGTCCGCTACATCTGGTTTCAGCACGGCGGCGTGGACACTCACTACTGGGCCGGCTGGTACGGCCCGAGGGTCACCAACAGCAGCATCACCATCGGGCCCCCAGCTGCCCTGATGTCCCCGAGCCCCCATCCACAGAACCCTGACTGGTAAACTGTTGGCAGAGAAAGGCGGGGCTTGGGAAGGGGAGATGGGCAGACTTCCCCAGACCTCCTGGTTCATCCTTGCCCCTGCCCGCTTCTTTGTGGAGCCTCTTTGTGCAGCTTTCACATGCTCGATCTGAATGGTGACAGGGGTGGCCTGTGTGTACCTTTCAGAGCTGCATCCCCTGAGGTTAGGGAGGTACAGGATGTTCCCCCAGGTTCCTTCCCCAGACTCCTCTGAGGGTGGGTCTTCAAGTTCAGATGGCAGCCTAGATCTGTGTTTCTACCTTCCCCTCCTGGGCCTTCCTCCTGTCTTTTTGAGAGGCCCTCGGAGCAGGGACAGTGTGGAGGACATCTAGCAAGCCTGTGGCTGCCCTGGATAGTGCAGATGCTGGGAGGTAACTGTAGCTCAGACAGATCTGGGAGTGGAAGGAGGACGCTGCGGGTTGTCCTCTGTCCCATTCTCTGCTGCTCCCCAGCTCTTGCTTCGCCTGCCTGCTCAGAGGGGTGGCTGTGGCCCAGAGGCTCAGGCCTGGTCTGAGATGGGCAGACCCAGGGTGGGGTGGAGTCTACGCCAGGTCTGGATTGCCCTCACTGTCAATAAAGCCCCAGAAGCCAGATGGGGTGGGACTCTTCAGAAGACCTCCAGAATCCTGTGCATGGTAACCCAGGGCAGGTGGGTGCGGGATTGGGCTGCGATTCTGAGAGTTAGGATGTGTGAGCATAGGATGAGTGTGGTGGGGTTTTTAAGGACCACCTGTCCACCTCCATGCCTACACCAGGTTCCCTGTGGCTTGGAGAGCATTCCAAGCCCTCACCCCACCCTTGGAACTGCCATTCACAGGACCTCCCCATCCTGCCCTCTGCCTCTCCTTCCTGCTCATAGGACAGTAGTGCTCCGATCCTGCCCCTGCTGCATGTAGCCAAATAAAACATTTCCCCAGCCCCACTTGTACCCTGTGGTTCTGGGGGGAAAGGGCAAGCTTCAGAGGAGGCCCAGACCTGCAGAAAGTGCAACATGTGTGGCTTCTGTCCGAGGTACAGAGAGGGTTTGACATTTCAGGAGCCGGACCATGGCAGAACCAGGGCTATGGGACAGACCCCTCCATGAGCTAGCTGCCAACACCTCGCCCCAGCAGCCATCAGCACTGCTGGTTTCCTCTGTGGCCTGGCTGCAAGCCTGGGGTTGGGATGTGTGGATACCTCCTGGCAGCCCCTGCATACACCTCGTGCTGGGTCAGCAGGGACACCCCAGGCACTGCTTACTGGTGTCTCCCTTAGTCCGCCAAGAGCTTTTCAGACATTAGATGAAGGCAAGGCCTTTAGGATGGTGCCTGGCCACACACTAGGTGCTCAATAAATACTGTTAAACTTAATTATCTCACTCACAGTGAGCTAGATTAGGACCTCAGCCAGGGTAGGGACCACCACTCACTAGCAGTAGGGCAGGTTAGTGGAGGACACCCTTCCTTGGAGAAGGTACAGCCCTAATGAGTTCATGTGATCTGGCCAGGCACCCTTGTGGTTCCCTGGAGTACCAGGTGCTCGATAATTATTTGTAGAATGAAGGGATTAACGAATTTAATCCTGACAAAAATGCTGGGTTTTACCTTTGAGTACACTGAGGTCTGCCCTTGGTCAAGCCCTGGAAAAGGCAGGTCCCAGGCTAAGACTGACTTTCGCATTGAGCCATCGCCCTGCAGGGAAGGGCCCGCCGGTCCCGGCCCCACCTCCCTTCCCTAGGTCGGAGGAGTGGCTGGTGCCGGGGCGGGGTCTTAGGGGCTCGGAGAGGAGGAGCCTCGGGCCCCCGGGGACCGGAAGAAGCCGAGCAAGAGATGGGTCCCAGCTGCGGAGCCGCACCCGCCGGCGGGGGAAGACTGCTCCAGGGAACCAGGCCCGGGGTCGCGGTGCCGTCATCACCCCGAGGCCGAGGTCACGGCCCGCAGGTCCCGAGGGGGCGGGCCGAGCGCGGCGCGTGACGTCGCCGCGGGGCGGGGCGAGCGGACAGCGTCAGGGAGGCCACGGGCTGCGGGTGGGCGCCGCTCCGGTTCCGCCCCAGCCTCGCCGCGGCCCAGCGAGAGGACCGGCGGGGGTGACAGGCCCGGGAGGGGTGAGTGTCCAGCGCCAGCAGGGAGGGGCGGCGGGCCGCGGACCCCCGAGGCCGCGGGGTGGGCTCCGGCGGAGCGGGGCTGCGGCCGCGCGGACCCCGCGTCTCCAGCCCGGACTCCGACTCGGGCCTGGCGGGAGCGCCGCCCGCAGCAGGCTCGGCGGCCGGGCCACGCCTCGCGGACCCCCGGGCCGGCCGGCACTGTCACGCCGGCGCGGCCGGGCAGGTGCTTTCCTTCCCAAGCCCCCGTTTCTGCTTCGAGAAGTGGGCGCAGTAACAGTGCTTCGCGGAGGCGTTGGGAGGGTCCACGGAGGAAACGCCAGCGCGTGACTCCGGCCAGGCACGTGGGGAGCCCAGTGAGTGCGGGGTGACTCCTTAGGGCTGGCGTGGACGGTTCCACCGCAAGTGCCGCGGGATGGGCTCCCTCCCGCCCCCCACACCCCCCGCGCAGTGCGGTCGCGCCAGGCCCGCGAAGGACGGCAACGGAGGGTGGGAGGGGTGAGCCGGGGACCAGGCTGGACGCACGAGTGAGTCGTCCGGACCTAACTCCGAGCCCGGTGACTTTTGCCTAGATAGTGCGCTTAGAAGCCGCCAACGTTGAAAAATTCACAGGTTTCGTGTTTTTTTTAAAAAGTTTACATTTCCTCCTGAAAAGTCCAAAGAGCTGGCCACACAACAAGAGTTTTATCATAGTATTTTGCACAACGCACAAGTGTCTTATATATCTGTTTATTGTTTTTTTTTCTCTGCCTTGCTAAGATGCCCCTCCCTGGGCAAGAGGAGCCAGGGTGTGCCACCACCCTCTTATTTTTCAGGGAAAGGAGCATAGAGGAGACTCTGAACTGCTGCTTTGTCCCAGTCGCTAATGGAAAATAATGTCTTCCCAGTGCCTGTAGGTGTGGGGGAGGATGATCCCTCCCCGACCCACCTGGGGGATCTGCTTAGAGATCCATTATCAGAACCCCCCAGGCAAGGTTCAGGCCACTGCAGCGTGGTGGCATTGTAAATTCTTCAAAACTCTTGGGCAATTTAGATAACAACAAGGAAAGGAAGGCTTTCTTGGGAACAGGTAATTCTACAGCTATTTTGGTTTGCTTTTGCTTTCGCTTTTGCTCTAATGGTAGAAGTGTTAGTCATGATACCCTGTGCTAAATGTTTTATACAGACGTTACAGCCCTTCTGAGGTTGGGACAGTTGCCACTTCTTTTACACACCTTCCTGGGGCCCTCAACCTGCTTTTTGGTTTCTGGGCATTTCAGTGTGGGCTCTGGCTCTGGCCGGTTAGCTCAGTTGGTTAGGCATTATCTGAGATGCCAAGGTTTTAGGTTCGATCCCTGGTCAAGGCACATACAATAATCAACCAATGAATTTATAAGTAGAACAACAAGTCAATTTTTCTCTCTTTCCCCTCCTTCCTTTCTCTCTCTAAAATCAATAAGTAAGTCTGGCCGATGTGGCTCAGTGGTTGAGCGTTGACTGATGCAACAATTCCCAGTCAGGACACATGCCCAGGTTGTGGGCCTGATCCCCAGTAGGGGGCATGCAGGAGGCAGCCAATCAATGCTCTCTCTCTCATCGATGTTTCTATCTCTCCCTCTCTCTAAAATCAATAAAGGGAAAAAAATTTTTTAATTAACTAAACAAAATCAATAAGTAAATTGAAAAAAAAAAGTGCCCTGCCCGGTTTGGCTCAGTAGTTAGAGCATTGACCCCTGGACCAAAGAGTCTCGGGTTCAATTCCAATCAAGGGCATGTACCTGGGTTGCAGGTTCAATCCCTGGCCCTGGTTGAGGTCATTCAGGAGGCAACCAATCAATGTGTCTCTCACATTGATGTTTCTCTCTCTCTCTCTTTCTCTCTCCCCCTTCCCCTTCATCTGCCCCCCCCCCCCAAAAAAATCAATAGAAAAATATCCTTGGGTGAGAATTAACAACAACAAAAAACCACACATACACACACACACACACAACAAAGTGGGCTGTGGCCCGACACCCACCCTAGAGCCGGGGGACAGGGGGGCTCCTCATTTGGGTGTTTTATCGCTTCTGGCTTCAAGGCCAAAGTAAGCAATTTGGAGAGAAGTTGGTTCCTAAGTAAGCCCTAGCACTTAATGAAGCTGTGATACAGTCTGGGACTGTAATAAAGATTTTATAGCAGTGAATTCACAGCTCTAAAATGTCACCACAAACCCTTACAGAGCTCACAATGTGGCCTTGGCCCAACTTAAAACTAATCAATTATTTCTTTATTTTTAATATGTTTTTATTGATTTCAGAGAGCAAGGAAGGGAGGAGAAACATTAATTGGTTGCCTTCCATACCCACCCAGACCAAGGATCGAACCCACAACCTGGGCATGTGCCCTGACTGGGAATCGAACCGGTGACCCTTTGGTGCATGGGACGATGCACAACTGATATTTTAGTGCTGTGACTTCATTGTGCAGCAATTATTTTAACGAGGGAAAAGCCTTTTAAAAAATTAGGTCGTATTTTGAGGACCTGCTATGTATTGAAAGGATGCTCAAATCCACCCTGGCCAGTTTGGCTCGGCGGTTGGAGCGTCGGCCTGCGGACCAGAGAATCCCAGGTTCGGTTACCGCTAGGGGCACGTACCAAAAAAAGAAAAGGATGCTCAAATCCCTCTTTTCTTAACCCCTCTTGTTTTACAACAGAAGCAGGATTAGGAGTTCCTGGCCCAGGACCCTGGGGATCTGAGGAGTCCACCTCCTTGGTCAGGGCTCATAACCACGGTTGTTACCCCCACCGGCCTGGGTGTGCACCCCACCCCCACTACAGCTATGGCCCTAGTCAGCATCAATGAACTGCCTGAGACCATCCTGCTGGAGGTGTTCACATACGTGCCTGCCCGCCAGCTGTTGTTGGACTGCCGCCCTGTCTGCAGCCTCTGGCGTGACCTCGTCGACGCTGTGTCCCTCTGGAAACGCAAGAGCCTGCATGAGGGCTTTGTCACCAAGGACTATGACGAACCTGTGACTGACTGGAAGATCTTTTACTTTCTGTGCAGCCTCCGCAGGAACCTCCTACGTAATCCATGTGCTGAAGGTGGGCTGCTTCCTTTCCTCCCTTTCCGGAATCTCAGGGCCTTTGCACTTGCTGTGCCCACACTACCTGGAAAGGTCCCTTAAAACCTAACACTCGCGCCCTGGCTGGTTTAGGTCAGTGGTTAGAGCGTCGGCCTGCGGTCCTGAGAGACCCGGGTTCGGTTCCCGCTAAGGGCATGTACCTCGGTTGCAGTTTGTCTCCGGCCCTGGTCGGTTGTGCGGGTGGCAGCCACTCGATGTGTCCCTTTCACATCGATGTTTCTCTCTCTCTCTCTGTTCCTCTCTCTCCCCCCCACTCTACCTGAACAAAAAATGGAAAAATGTCCTCGGGTGAGGATTAAAAAAAAAAAAAAAAAAAAAAACCTAACACTCGCCACGCTCCCTTGGTTCCTCGTCCTTTTTGAGGGCTCAGTTCAGAGACCTGCCCTGGTTCTCCCTACCTCAATCCTGTCATTCCTATTTAGTTCCTTCATGCCACTTTTCATAACCTACAATTGCTTTTTTATCTTTTTTTTTCTCTGCCACAAACTTCAAGTTCCAGGTGCCTAGTGGATCTTGCTTGCCACACTACATCCAGTGTCCACAATGATACCTTCACATAGCAGATGCTCAAGAAACGTTTGAGTGAATAAACAAACTGCAAATCCACCTGTCCCCCTTTAGCTCGGTCCAAGCAGCTAACGTTTATGGAGGGCTTCCTCTGTACAGGCCAGGCACTAGCCCGAGCTCTTCACAAATGTAATTATCCCAGTTATACAGATAAAGAAAATGAGGATTTTGAGAGGTGACTGTAATCACAATTTGAGGCCCTTGTTTAGCTCAAGTTCTCTTGTACTTGCCAGAGTTTTTTCCTTGTTCAGTACCTACTACATAGCAGGCATCTTGCTCCCTACTGGGGCTATGGCAGCAACAGATCAAGAGGCACTGTCTACTTAGAATCCCTCTCATGCCTGTTCTCTCTTTATCCTCACCTGGATTCCAGTTGGCCAAATGAGTAGGGTTAGCTCCATTTTACAGAGGGGAGTGTTAGGCCCAAGCAAGATGAGTGTCTTGCCCAAAGATCCAGAAATGCCCAGCTGCTGACGGCCCTCAGGCCCCTCTCAGAAGTCCCACAGTCAGCACCCCAGACACTCCAGTCTCTCGGCCTCAGGAGCTGCCCAGCCAGGCCACCAGCTCAGCTCCCACAGCCCTACAGAGCCAGCTGCAGCCTGGCCTTGCTCAGGTCTCCCCTTGGGCTGCACTTGGTGCAGCCCCACTCCTGGATCTCCATATCACCCGTCTGACTGCTGGGGGACCCTAGCCACCGAGAATGGGCGTGGGCTCCTTGTAGAGGGAGGACGTTAGGAAGGCTCCCTTGGCGATTGTTCTGGAAAGCCTTGGTGAGAACACTGCTGTTTTCTAAGGTCCTCTCAGCTCAGTCTGAAGAGGGAGACCGGAACTTGCTGAGCCAACCTGGTGGGGTCCTTCCACGAATGTGCAGTTACTACATGCCACCAACCCAGAGGGCACCCATTCTCCCAGTTATTATCCCTCCCACCCAGGGCAGGGTCCTCACACCCCTCAGGTCTCAGTGACATAGTTAGGATCGGGGGACGTCAGTTGTCAAGTAAGTGGTCCCCATTGGGACAAATTTACAATAGCCATTAAAAAACAAAAGTACCGCCCTGGCCGGATTGGCTCAGTGGTTGGAGGGTCGGCCCGAGGACCAGCGGACCAATGACTCATGGGTTCGATTCCGGTCAAAGTTCATCCCTGTTCCTGATCAGGGTTGTGCGGGAGGCAACCAGTCGATGTGTCCCTCTCACGTCGATGTTTCTCTTTCCCTCTCTCCCACTCTATCCGAAGATAAATAGAAAAATATCCTTGGGTGAGGATTAAAAAAAAAAAAACAGAAGTGCCGTCACAGGCCCTTCATACTTTAATATTCTGAGAACTGAAATTTGGGTGTTTCCCAGAGATCCTCAGCAATGCGGAAGTGAGCAAAGGTTGGTTTTTCCCGGCTTTATGTTAGGAGTCAGGCTAGTCGGGCAAAGTGAGGGGGGGAAAGGGTCCCAGGTCAGAGCTGATGTGCTGGTGACAGGTGGGAATGGTTGCAGTCGAGCTTTGCAGGGGTGTTCCAAGGCACGGTTGCACGCCTTGAGATCTGAGCATGATCAAGCCCTGCGTTTCATCCTCCATCCTCCCCTCCCTCCTGGGACCAATGGGGAGGAGCAGGCTATACATGTACCTTTACTCAGCTTATTTTTCCTAGAGGGTATGAGATTCTGGAAAATCGACAGAAATGGAGGGGACCGTTGGAAGGTGGACAGTTTACATGGACCCCATGGGAAAGATTTTCCTGACACCAAAGTCAAGCACTACTTCGTCACATCCTATGGGTAAGACAAACTGAACTGAACAGGCTGTGTTGGAGGAAGAGGGTCAGGACACCTTTGCCAAATCCCAGGCCTACCTATGTCAGGGCCTCTGTGAAGCTCTAGGGAGGTGGTTCCAACACCAGCTCAGAGTCTCCTGCCTCCTGGGGCAGAAGTAAGCTCAGTGATGGGGGAGGGGGGGGATTGATATAAGGAGGCTGGGAGCCCATGGGGCAGTTAGGCTGTCAGGGGTGTCAACAGGATGTCCATAACCTAGGAATGTGAGTTCCTTGGGGCCTTGGGAGACTGGGCCTATAGACTAGGCTCAGATGCCACCCAGGCACAAGGGAGTCAGACTCCCTGCATGCTTCTCATGGGCCTATACCAAGGTAGAGGCCAGAGTCAGCACCAGCCAGTGACTGCCCTGCAGCAGCCGGGACACTGCTGGGTTCCCTGAACTACCTCCCTGGGTCCAGGCCTTGCAGAGCACATCTAGGAATATAGGCTTCTCCTTCTGCTTCCCAGGTTATGCCTCAAGTCCCAGATGGTGGACCTCAAAGCCGAGGGCTACTGGGAGGAACTAATGGACGTATTCCGGCCTGACATTGTGATTAAGGACTGGTGAGTGAGGCCTGGGTCTACACTCTGCATCCTCCCTTTTTCCTGAGAACACCTGGAGAGGTACCCACTCTGTATCCAGCACTGTCCTAAGGCAAGGGCAGCCCCCAAAGCTAGGCCAACCTGGCTGGCCTCCCCATCACCATGTTAGCAGGACACCTTCACCCCAATTTACAGATGGGGAGGCTGAGACCTACAGATGAGTTGTCACGAACAGGCACTAGAGCAACAGACAACCAAACCCCAGCCTTCCTGGACCTCGCAGATGCTCACCTGCCTTCTCAGCTGCCTCCCTGCCCCTTCTCACCATTCATCCCAACTCTTAAGCTCCTTCTCTGCACAGAGCTGTGCCAGGCTCTCTGCCGTGGCCCATGGCAGAAGCAGAATCCAGTTCCAGCCAGGGCCACCACTCAGGGTGGAGGGGTAAGGTTTGAGGGGTGTGCAGAGCTGTGGGGGGGCAGCAGGGCTAAGCAGAGGGTGAGCTCTGTGCCAGCCCCTACCATACAGACCACCCACTGAATCCACAGCATGGTCCACTGTGTACAGGTGACACAGCTCTGACAGCCTAGCCCTTGATCTCTGTAGAGAGCTTTTTGCTTTGTAAGGTGAAATGTCTGAAATACCCAAAAGTTACTCTTTTCTCAGACAGTAACAGGCCCAGCACAGACAGACTGCTTACCCTGGGTACAGGAGCACTGAAGGTGGCCTTCTGGCCACACAGCGAAATGAGGCTCAGAGCTCCAATTTGTAGGTCTGCTGCCTGCGCACCACTAGGGTCACTCTTTGTCTTGGGGTGCACAGTTCTGAGCCCCACCTTCCCCTAGGTTCGCTGCCAGAGCAGACTGTGGCTGCACCTACAACATCCGCGTACAGCTGCTCTCAGCCACCAACATCACCTTGGCCTCCTTCGAGCCCCCAACCGTGACCATCCCTCAGTGGAGCGATGTGGAGTGGACAGAGGTGAGGCCTCAACTGCTTGCCTGCCATCCACTTCTCCCAGGGCCCGGAATGCCCCAGCTCTCCCACGTGGAACTCCTCCCTCCTCTCCAGTTCAGTGATCACCCCATCGCATCCCCTCCCCAGTCCTGGTGGTCACTTTCTCTCCCTTCCTTCCAGGTCTCCCACACCTTCTCAGATTACCCTCCAGGTGTCCGCTACATCCTTTTCCAGCATGGGGGCAAGGACACCCAGTACTGGGCAGGCTGGTATGGGCCCGGTGTCACCAACAGCAGCATCACCATCAGCCCTAAGATGACCAGGAACTCAGCAGCCTCCACAACTTAGCCCATGGCCTTGCAGGAGCAGGAACAGGAACAGATGGACACTAGAGACTTGCTCTACCAACTCCCTGTCCACATGCCCTTCTGACAGTCTGTATCTGATAGCCATTCACCTGTCCTCTGTCCCCCATCCCTGCCAAAGTGCCAAATGCCAAAGGTCTCCCCCAGGCAAGAAATGAGCCTATTGTGGGGCAGGGAAGCCCCCGCCCTAGAACTTCCTGCCACAGTTCTAACTTTGGGCAAACCCACCAGTTTGTGGTAACTGTTATGCAGCTCTCACATCTTGTCATAATAAATGTTTCAGTAAAACCAGCCTGGGATCGGGGCGGGGGGGAGGGGATCCTGGGTATTTTGGTAGAGAAGCAGCCTTTCCCCCAGGTTGATCTGGCTGCACCTGTCCCTCCCGCTACAGTGAGTGATAGCCCAGGTCAGCCCTTGGGGCCCTTTATTGAAACAACTCACAGCACAGTATTTGAGACAGACAGTGTTGACCGGTTGAACCCCAGGAGACTGAGAAATTGAGGTCCCGGCACCCTTCCTGCCCTCCTGGGGTGGGGGGTTCCTCCATGAAGGCAACCAGACCTGAGCAGCCCCAGGCTGGAGCGTGGGCAGTCCGTACATGGAGGCAATAAGAGCACTTGGAATCAGGATGGCCCTGCAGCACTGCCCAAGGCTGCAGGCTCCCAAAGTCTGACAGTTGTGGCATCCATGGAGGCAGACACACCCTCAGCTGCTTTTATGAGCGCGTTCTTCCACATATAGCTGCATCTAATGGACAGGAACAAACAGCCATGTCAGGTGAGCTGTCAGGGCACCTGTGTCAAGGGCCCACAAGCCCCCAGCAGGCAGATCTCTGCCAAGTGACTGAGTTGCATGGCCACAGCTGGGGGTTAATAGGGGAGATGGGAGGAGCCTTATGCCTGGTAGTCCCTGTTAATCTCCTCCAAGCTTTGTCCACAAGGCCTCCAGCACACCCTAAACAAAGTGTACCTGGTCCCCATGCAGCTCACCTTTAAAATGTCCGACGTCATGGTTTTTAGGGGTATCAGCCGGGGGTCATGCATGTGGACGTCCTGCTCATCTGCCAGGATCCAGGGGAAGTCCTAGGGAGAGTCCAGGTGAGGAGGCAGAAGGGGGCTGGACCCTGGCCTGCCCTCCCTTTGCTTCCCCGTCCCTCTCCAGAGCTGGGGTCCACAGACTTTGGGGAGCATCACAATCACTAGGGAAGTGCAGATTCTCGGGCTCCTCCACTAGACGAGCCAAGTCTGTAGGTCAGAGCTGGGCTGGGAACCTAAGTAATTTAATTAAGTCCCAAGCACCAATTCTGAAGCTGGTGGGGAAGGACCACCTCCCCGGAGAACCTCCACTGAGCTGGCAGCTCCCGCGTGCAGCCCCACCCTCCTCTCAGCCCTAGTGCCACGTGTAGCAGTGGCAGGCATGTGGCTGCATAGTTACCACATGACAAGAACTAATGGGTGCCAGGCACTGTCATAAGCAATATTAGGAGTGCAGTGCCCACTCAGAGCTGTGGCATCTGCTTATCAGAGCCTCCCAGCTGTTTCCCTGCCTTGCCCACCCGCCCTGACCAGTCTCATCGCACCTTGATGACCTGGATCTTCTCCATGTTGCGAGTGGCAGCTTCCCTTGTGTGCACCAAAACTGTGAAGGTACAGCCTGAAAAGGCAAAAGTTTGGTCGAGGCTGGGCCACACCATGCCTGCCACTAGGCAGTCTCTTCCCACCTCCCTAGCTGGCTCAGCAGCCCCACAGATCAAAGTGTAAACCAAGTGTGAAGACAAGACAGTTAACAGGGAGGCTGAAGTCGGGGCAGTTAATCAGAGAAGCTCCCTGAAGCTTCCTGGAGGAGGCAGACTTTCAAAGGCGTTCTAAAAGGAAGAGATGAGGTTCTTGGCAGCCAAATAGGGACTTGAGAACACAAACCAACCCAAGGGAGCCATGGAAACACCCAGGGAAGAGGCAGTAGATAAGGAGCACACCTGGGGGATTATGGTCCAGGACAGCATCACACACACTGATCTTGAGGATGAAAGCTCGGAGTAGCTGCTCCACGTGAGACAGCAGGGAATCTGAGCTAGGAAGGAGAGAGGAGGGAGGTCTCCCATCACATTGGTGCTCCCTCCCACCAGCAAGCAATCCTGGAAGCAGAGGGAGGTCCCCAGCTCCTCCAGTCCTGAGAGTATTGGCTTCTAAGGGCCCGGCTACCTATCATTTGGGGAGTTTAAAACCAGTGCAAAGCCCCATCCCAGACTAATTAAGTCAGGATGGGAGAAAGGGGTGCAGGGAGCCCCTATAGGTGGTTCTAATATGCTAACATTGCCCCCAGTCAGAACCAGGACCCCAGGCCTAAGGGGAAACAACCTGCCCACAGCAATATGGGGACAGATTCTATTGCCTTGACCTCACCACAGGAAGCCAGCAGCTGACCAGCCAATATACCTGCCCAAGGGCAACTTGTAACTGATTATGGACTACACCGCTTGACTGGGAAGTTAGGACACTGAGTCGTGTCCTGGCTCTGCCACCGTATGGGTGACCCTGGCTAGTTCATGTCACATCTCTGGACCTTAGTTTCTCCCTCTATATAAGATGAGGCTGGGATCAGTCATTCACCAGTGCTGTGGTTTCCCAGGTGTCACACTGGAGGATCTCCTTGTAACCTGTGCGATGTCCAGAGACCACTTGGTGGCCTGCCTGTTAGGTTGGCACACCATGCATTTCTCCAAGGTATTCTTGGAGCTGCCTTAAAGGAGTGAAGCGGAGGTATTCCTAGAGACTCACACCATCTAGCAGTAGCAGGGGGAGAGGCAACTCACCTGATGGACAGCAGTGGCGGCTGGGTAATTTCAAAGACGAATTTCTCCACTGGGCGGTGCTCTTTGTCCAAAATTACCACCACCACTTTTTCCACATCATTCTGCAAGGACAGGAATCCCCTACTCCAGAACTGTGTGCTCCAACCCCCCACCCCACCCTGCCCAAGGAAGGAAAAGGGCACACTCACAGCCCTGCTCAGCCTCTAGGCCGAGGGTACCCGAGAGCCTAGAGAGAGGTTTGAGAAGTTTAAGTAGGCACTCCCAGACAGGAGTGGTACAGGCTGAGGGGAGAGACTACCTGGGCCCCTTAGGGATCCCAGGACATCTCCGAGAACAATGCAAGATAAAAAGAGAAAGTCCTGTGGGGCCAAGCCCAGACAGAACTTGGGGGTGGGGGGGAGAAAAATGGATGTGAGAACCCAGAATCCTGGCCCCACTCATAGAACCATCCACTAGCCAGAGCCCAGCACACTCCTGGGTCCAGCACACCCTGCACGTGGCCAATGTGCCCTGGGGCCTGTCCTTGCTCTGGGGTGGTCTCGGGGTGCAGGAAACAGGCTTCTGGGTGTGAGTGTCATGGGAACCCTGCATGATCCCAGCATCACCCCATCCCTTATCAGGTGTGAGGTGGGCTGGGGGGCCTGGTGCCCTCACCTTCTCCAGGAGTGGCTTGACACAGTGCAGCGTGTCCTGGATATACTGATTCAGCTCCGGATGGCAGGACATCTGCACACAATGCCATGATGGCTGGTGAGGCCCACAGCACCAACAGGAAACCACCCAACATTCCCTCTAGGAGCCCAGGCCCTATCTGCCTTGGAGAGAGCCCAGCAGTTCCCTAGGGCTTCCTACCTGAGACCAGCTTCCTATCATGAGGCTAAGAACTCTGAATTAGCCACAGAGAAGTGAAAAGGTAAGAATTCAGTTTCAACATTAGCACTTATAGCACTAGGGTTTCCTAATGTGGGGTCCTTTAGCTCCCCCAGAGTCTGAGAAACTCCTAAATTGTGTTTACTTGAGTATTATGGGCATTTTCCAAGAGAAGGGATCCAGAAATTTAATCAGTTTTCAAAAGTTAAGGAGCCCTGTGGCCTCAGGCAAATTACTTCTCTGAGCTTTAATAAACTTTATCTGTGAAGATCTCAAAGAAAAAGTGAGGATTGTCCTGGTCGGTTTGGCTCAGCAATTAAGAGCTTCAGCCTGCGGACCAAAGAGTCACGGGTTCGATTCCGGTCAAGGGCATGTACCTCAGTTGCAATCCGGTCCGGCCCTGCTTGGGGTCGTGCAGGAGGCAACCAATCGATGTGTCTCTCTCACATGGATATTTCTTTTTTTCTCTCCCTCCCTCCCACTCTACCTGAAGATAAATGGAAAAATATCCTCAAAGGAGGATTGAAAAATAATTTTTTTTAAATTGAGGATTAAGTGAGATATGTACCTAGTGGATGCTCAGTAAATGCTGCTTCTCTTTTCCTTTTCCCTGTTCATTCCCTACGCTCCCACCACCTTCCAGTATTCAGTCATTTATTCTAATGTGACCTGAGTGCCTCTCGAGGGACAGGCACTTCTAGAGAGACTGGGAATAGAGTAGCTATGGCTTTGTCTCCCTTTTAACCTACAATTGGATGCCTGAGGTTTATGGAAATCCCCTCCCCAAATCAACCCTTATCTGGCTTCAAGAACTCTTAAAATACCACCATGCCCCAGGGGCCACACTAATCAGAAGGCCTGGTCTCTAATTCTGTTGGGGAACTCCCAGTTCCGAGGGGATGGAAGGAGCCACTGCGGTGAGGGGTGGGAGACTGTCAGGCTACCAGCAGCTGCCAGCAGGCATGGCCCCGGCTGCTGGAGAATGAAGGAGCTGGGCCTGAAGGTGGAACAGAGTTTTAAAATCCACTCTCTGCTCACTCTGTGACTAGGGATGACCCTGTGGCCCCAGCCTGGCTGTGCAATCCACTCTCTGCTCACTCTGTGACTAGGGATGACCCTGTGGCCCCAGCCTGGCTGTGCGGGCTCACCTGGACGGGCACATTGTACTTCTTACGCTTCTGGAAGATGCCCACCGGGTAGACCTCGCGCACGTAGAGGATCAGGTGCACGGCCACCTCCAGGAACTCGCAGAGCACGTCGGCCACCACTGCAAGGGGACGAAACCCGGTGTGCTCAGGAACGTCCGCCGGCACAGACCCTCCCTCGCCCTCTTACCCCGTGTGGGCAGGTCCAGCCTCCCTACCTTGGCCAAAGTTGAGGTCCTGTCGGGTGAGCGTAGTCATCCTTCCCGCCACCTAGGGGGTGGGACAGGAATGAGGGCTAGTTCCAAAGGCCTAGGCAGCCAAAGGGCCCGCCCACCTCCACCGCCCCTCCCCTTCGCCTGGGGGGAATCGGAGAGGACCACCCCCCAACACACGAGTTGGGCGACTGGGGACCACGACCCCCACTCTGGCGTC